AAAATTCAAATGCCATTTACTATTAAATTAAAAACTCAAACATTTTATTAAATTAAAAATATGTGTTACCATTTAAAAAAACAAAGTTGACCCCCCTCCAAGGCATAAGGGATGAACTTAAAAAGTATTACATAGTTAAAAATTCAAGAATAATGTGTAACTAAAGATAATAAAAAAAAAAAATGTTTAAATTATTATTATTCTGCAAGTAATTGAGTGGGTTATGATAAAAAAATCACCCTGTATATGCATAGTGGAACGATGGTTTGAAAAGGTGGCGCGGGTCATGGGTCTACGTGTATCAAGAAACGAAGCGGTACCGTGTCAATATCTTAATGTCTTTATAATAATATGACTATAAAACAATAAAATAAAAATGTGTATTTAAAATAATATACTTAATAATAGCTATCTAATTATTATTTCACGCAACAGGTATGCAAAAGAAAACTTCGCAATAATACAAATAAAAATTTGTACTACCATGTTATTTGAGTAATTTGTAAGTCAATACAAAATATAAACAAAATTGTGATGTGTTTATACAACAGCCATCAATTAAAAAATATGTGCATGGACATAAAACAAAAAAAAAACACTTTCATAAACTAACGAATTTCAGCGAAACATTCTGTGTACTTCTGAAATGCCTATAAAAAAGCTTGTTAAAAATTTAAGATTTTAAATAAAAAATTGATGGCGGCAAAGAAAATTTTTCACAAACATTTCTAGCACTTTTAAACGATCCGTGAGAGTTTAAAAATTATTTCTCATCTTCGCGAATCATTTTTACAGAATAATTTCGGGAAACTAAAATTATAAATTAATAAACCTTAATTAAAAATCAATTTGAAAATTGTAAATCGTTAAGTAATTTTCCATCATTGGTAAATTTTTGGGTTAACTATAATACCATAATAGATAACCAATAAAAGGACAAATAATTATAGTATCAATATAAATCCAGTCCTAACCAAAATCTCGATATTTTATAAAAGTTATTTGAAAAATACTAAAATAAAAAATTTTAACGGAAATCTTATAAGTTCTGACCATGATGGAATATTTTTTATAGAAAAATAACATTCCTGTTCTTTCTATTTTAAATCAGATATTCATAAATATTCTATCAACATAAATTTACTATATCTAGTATGTTCTATGAAAACTTCATAAAAGAAATTGTACTTCTGTGTACCAACTCAATACACAAGAAATATATGATAATATCATTCATATTTTATTTATTTCTAATAATAAAAAAATTAAGAAATAAAAAATGTTTAAATGAAGTATTGAGGAATAAATAATTTTAACAATTTCAACAAGTTAGATAAATATAGTTTTAATAATATTTTACTAGTTATTTTTTTACTTAGTATTTTCATAATTTTGCATAGTTGAATTTTTAATATATAATTATAGACATATAATTGTAAATTAATTTTATCAAAATATATTTTTTCCAAAAGCCACAAATCATTGTGATTTATTTTATGTACATTTTATTTATTTAAATGCTAAAAATTTTAATCAAACAATATACTAAATAATTTTCATGTGATATAAATATTCAGCAAATGTAATTTTAGTATTAAAAGAAGTAGTAAATTATTAACTTTGTACTTAATTTTTCGACGATTAGACTAAATCTATTTCATAATTAAAAATGAAGATGCAAATTTCTATTATATTGATCATTGAAATACTTTTTGAGATGAGCGATTGCACTTCTGTCAACGGATTGGATCATAAACAATTGGAAGAGAAGCGTTTTAACAAATTAAAAGGATTTACATTATGGAATTACGTAAAGGGTAAAGATTATGATGAAACGAGAAGACTAATGAATGATCACACAAGTAAATATATTTTATTAATAACTGTTTACGGCTACGATGCTTTAAAGGTGGATTATGATGAAAATCTTGTAGATCTTCTTAAAAAAGTTTTGAAAATATAAAACGCTGCTAAGTTTATCATAAAACTTGATTCTTCTAATGGATTAGGCACTCGTGAGAATAATTATCAATTTGGCATGGATTTAAATTCATTGAATAAACTAAGATCATACTACATTAAACAAATATCAAACGGCCCTGCACAAGATCAACTAGGTCTTACGTACGGAGTTGAACCGAATTATTTTATATCATCAGATGTTGTACTTGAAATTTTACTTAAGAATTTTCCCCCATCACACAATAGCAATGAAAAGTATAATTTCCACAGTATGCCAAAAGAAAAACAAAGTATTATAAATGTGTTGAACCAAATTAACAGTTTGATTATAACTGAATACAGCGACTTTGAGAAAATGTCCAATTGGACCTATGATAACTTTCGAAGTTATATAAGACAGTCTTTTTATTAATTTTATATGTCTTTAACATATTTTTAATATAAAATGTCATGCCTAATCATTTTTTGTAAATTAAAAATAATAATAATCAATTTTATGGAACATATTAAACACTTGTATTTTCTCTTTAAAAATGTATATAAGTCATTTTTTTAGCTTATTTTATTGAACTGAAAAAAAACTACTAAATATTATTTATATTGAAAAATAAATATCCTAAAAAGAACAGGTACTACAGGTAAGCATTATTTTAAATAGTGTACAATACTGATATAATGCAACTAATTTCTTTCATCCACTCAGCCGGTTTTCTTGTTTAATAATTAGATTGTTACTCATTAAATTGTTTTATGTATAAATACTTTATTTTTATTTTAATATGTAATATAAAAGAACAATGGGTGGTAGTACACTTATTTTTGAAATTACCATCTATCACTTTTAAAATTGTGCACAAACCTATAAAATTGATCTGACTTGTGAAAAGTACACTTTTATTTTTATTTAGTCTTGAAGAATTTTAATTTGATAAAGATATAAAAATCATCTCAAACTAAAAAAATTACTGACAAATTGTTCACTGGTTTGGACGTTTTGCATTTTTTATTCTATAGCTCATAACATAAGTTATTAAAAACTAATTGCGATCTTCCCGAATTTGCTATTTTTGCTTTAAATAAAGTTATTATCCAACTATACAATAACTATATCTTGTATGGGTGGGCATTTGATAACTTTTTTATAGGTTTAGAACAATCTAGTAGAGAAAAACGACTGGGGGGCTAATTTTTGATAGCAACACGGACAAATAACCAATTTGAAAGTGACTATTGAAATTTTTAGCGAACCAGGGCACCTTCAAATTGTTAGCCATAATAATCTTTATATAAGAGGTGTATTCATAATGAGCCATGAGTTTAGTGAGAGAGAAAAATGTTTTAATTTATCCATAACACCCCTTTTAATTTTTCTGTATTACCAGTTGGTGTATTTATAAATGTTAACTCACAACAACTAACCGCTCGTATATTATACTATACATTAACTTTAAAATTTGAATCTATAAAGTTTTATGACTAATAAACACATTATGCCAACTACTAAAATAAATAAAACATTTTATTAAACTCAATAAATGCAATGCCATTTGAAAAAACAAAGTTGACACACTTACAAGGCATAATAGATGAACTTAAAAAGTATTGTGGCTAGCTAATAATAGAATTATATAGCTAATAATTTGTAACTAAAGATATCCAAAAATATAATGTTTAAATTACTTTTATTTTATAAGTTATGATAAAAAAAATCAACTTGTATATTAAGTCCTTTAATAACAGTTTTTACTTTTTCAAAAAAATATTTAACTTTTAGGCTTATAACTCAGGCTATAACTTATGTTAGAGAAATTTGTCCTCTATACTCCTAGTAATTTGATAATTTTTTGTAAAATTATTAGGTAAGTAATAATTTTTGATAGCATCTCTGAGGTTTATCAATTTTTTTTGACCTCGAGCTTTAATATAAAATTACTCGTACTTTTTCATTAGTTAGACAATGGTGAATCTAAGAATTTATTTTTTTTTTATGGAAATCATATAATGAATATAATTGAACAAGATTTATTGTGTTATTTATGTGTTACATTAAATTTGAAACAACACTTGATGTTTTGTATGAAGTTGAAACTGTTTTGAATTTAGTTTTGGAAAACAATTTTATTTGGTTAAATAGTTACTTATTATTTATCACATAACTCTAAAATGAAAATCACTAATTAATAGTCTTAGTATTTCTTATATAGCTATTTAAAAAAATAATATATTCTAAAGGCTAAAAACAATCATTACACTATTACATAAGCCCTCTCCAACAGTTTAATTAATATTATAACATAATTTGATCTAGAAAAATTATTTATTTTAATGCAAAGATTAAACCAAATTAAGTAGTTATTAATTTTACCGATAAAACTATAATTGAATTTTGGGGTTGTGTTTTTTTAAAATCATTTCAATTATAATTTTAAAATATTAATATAGAGGTTGATTTACTTAATCACTTAATTAATCAAAAAATAAAAATAATATTGAAAATTTTTAATTTAGTTTTATAGTATTTTTTATATTCATTCCTTAAACCTTATAATGATATCTACTTTATTTTTTCAAATGCTAACATAGCAATTAACTAGATTATTCAATAGATAACGATATACTTAAGAAAATGACTGGTCGATAACAACTACTCACAGAATAAAATAAAATAACATAAAATACTTAATTGAAAAAATTGTTTAAAACTCTTCAAAATTTATTGTAGGTAAATACTAGTATTTTAATAGAATTCTATTGTATAAATGTAAAGTATGATGGTGTAATAATTAAAATGTCTAACCAATAATAGTCACAAAAGTATAAAATACTGTATACATAGTATATATATTTACTACATTAATTCTCACAATTATAAAATAATAAACAAAATTTTTTTTTATTAAAAATGTATATAAGAAAAAAGTAACAAAAATAACATCGAGATAACGTATAACAACTAAATAATATTTATAACCAGAGACCACAATTAATTACAAATTCACTTATAAATGAAATTATTTTAAAGAAAAAAACTAAATTTTGAAACTTACAAATTAATAAACGGTTATTTGTTCAAATATTTTTAAACGATAGTATCATGTGTTCAATTATTAATTCAACTATTAATTTCGTTTTAATTTTAGATAATAAAGTCATTTTTAATTGATTTTTTTTTTTTATGTGAAATATTAAAACTTTTTAAGTAGAGGTGCTTAAAGGTGTAATTCCTGTTGATTGAGTGTCAGAATTAGGAAGTTTGGGAAATAATATTCGAAAAACTTTGTAGCTGTAATCGAATGCCAAAAAAATAAAGGCCCCCTGAAGCGAATTAAGCACTGCGTAAATCGCCCAAATAATATCATTGTCTGTCAAAGCGCCAACTAGGCCTATAATCCATGCAAGTCCCATCATAAGTGATAATCGAGAATAGATTTTCATGTTCTTTCTGGATCGATTCACTGCTGAATTAGATGTTAACGATGAGCCATTTGAACTTGTAGCGATCAATTTGACGGCGCCTATAAATGTGATGTAATTAGTGACAATAGTTGCACCGGCAGGTATTATGAACAGCGCAACCAACGATTGTGGATTCCTAAACCAACAAGTATGTTGAAAGTTGGGTTTAAGTTCAGGAGCGATTTGAGCAAGTGCAACAGACCACTGCAAAGAGGCGGCACTTGCAGTAAAGGCAGCTGGTGTCAACCAAGCAAAGGCTGAATACAAAATAAACCGCTTGTTTCGTTTGCCTCCTACTAACCGTAGTTTTTTAGTAGATGCGTAAAGCACTATCCATACGTCGATGGCCATAACGGACATCCAAGCGAAAGATGCCAAAAATCCAAAGTGCATAGTAAGAGCTAAAAGGATACAAGGTAAACCACCCACTTTAGTTGCACTAAAAGACGATAGAGAACAACAATATCCTATTAATAAACTGAAGCACAAGCTCGCTAAATTTTTTTCAGGTAAGTTCTTAGGCTCAGAATTAATAGTGAACAAAATCAGATGCGCTAACAATGCCATTACTGATATCGAAGATCCAAACAAACTTATGTATGACAAATAATAAGCGGATATTGGCTCTTCATAACGGAGAACTTCCAAACTATCCACACACACTTTGATACTAGATCCATTATTAGTAACGTATTCAAGTCGTTTTTTGTAAACGTAAGCGTAGACTGTTCCATTCTCAAACGACGAACTGTCATATTCGCCACGAGTTAAAAAAAATGACATGGAACAAGCACCCGATTCTCGTATTATGTTTCGGCACCTGGCAGCTATCACGTCATAAATTTCATCCGGATTACATGGAAGCTGTTTCACTCGAAAAAGCTGTTGAATACTTGGGATGGGACTCGTTAATACTGGTACAGATACACATAACAAGTCGGACACCGACACGTTATTGCACAAAGCGCAATCTAAGTTTCTGAACGTCCTTCCAGTTTGAGTTTGGTGACTTACTTCATACACTTCATTGGCCGACGACCGACACGAATCGGTCAAATGGTCATCTCCATTGGGACAATCATTCACAAGAACACCATCTGATGCACATCGTCTTAATGGCACTACTGGCAAGTCGGTCATGAGTTGAATCGTACACTCGTAAATTACTTTATTATCGTAATCTGCATGGTACCATTGACCATTACGATACAACAAGTTCGAATCAGAGGCATTTTCAAGGCGCAAGATTCGTTCAGGGAGTTTAGGGGTAAAACATCGAAATACTGGCTTCCAGTAAATTACATTTGTTTCGCCGTTGCATAGGGCACAATACGCGTTCTTATACGTTAAATTGGTGGCAAGACTAGTCACCGGATAAAGTCTGACAGTCGATTTTTCTTCATAATTTTGGGATTTTTCACATTTATTTCTGTTTTCTCGCTGCCGCGGAGTCTCGTAGGCTATTGGGGGACACTGTCCAATGGTCTTCAATACCATATCAACATCAGGCACTTTATGACATCCAAAACGACTAACAGAGACCGATTTTTTATAATAAATACTGTCTTTACAACAATCTTCATATGTTCTACAATGTACGTCTCTATAACAGTGCACCATCATAGTACCATAAACAAAAAAATTGTCTTCGCATATTAAATTCATTTTCGTCCTGTTTAAAAAATAAAAATAAATTATGAAATTAAACTAATAAAATTAGTAGAATAGTTTTTTAATTTTTTTTTTAAATAATGATAAACAAGTTTAATTAAAATTTATAAGAAAAGGTTTCCTTAAAAATTAAAATTATAAATTTCGGTAATTGATATTTATACTCATTTTAATAAGTTAACTATAATTAATATAGTTTAATAGTTTCTTCGATAAATCTAATTAAACGTAAACTAAGGTTGATGAGATTGAAACATTTTTTATTAGTCATANGGTTGATGAGATTGAAACATTTTTTATTAGTCATAAGTGATAATTTAATCTTACAAATAATTTTTTATTCATCATTCGTCAGGTTAATCAAACCTAATGTACAAGATTTGAAAATTTTTTGAGGCAAAGCGAAATTAGTATTGGTTAGCCGCCGAAGTCATGATGAACAATCGACTTTCGCAACGAATTTTCTTATTTACTCATAAAACACACGCGTTAGGGTAGATACTCTTATCTAATTAGAGAACTATATTATTTGTGATATTTTCATGCATGTTAACCAAGAACACCTTTTACTCATGACATTATTGTTTTATAATTACATCTTTATTAAAACATAAATTTAACAGGTCAAATAAATTAAATTATAAGGCGATAAATAATTGGTAAAAAAAAGTTAGAGTACAATTTTATTTGTGATGTATTTACCTTAATATAACTGTTTCGTTCATTGAATCAACATCTGGTATAGCTATTGTTGCCAAATTATCTTCTGGTGTGGTTGCTGTTACGGAGCTTTCATTTATTGTACTACACAAAATTAATTCATCCATAGTTTTACAAATAAGTTATATCTACACTTTCTGAAGATAAAAAATATTATAATAATTGCTAATTTAGAATAAATTGACAAATAATTTGAAAAGTAAAATAGAGGACTACTGAAAGTTTTTAAATAATTTTATGTTATACATTCGTATATATAAAATATATCAAAACCTCTATCACAAAACCACCACGCCAATTTGTCAACGTATTCAGGAGGAAAAAAAGATTTGTAGATAACAAAGAAATGAGTTTTTATAATACTTCATCATCTTAATTAGGAATCTGCAACTTATTTTTCAAACATTTTTATTTCTAGACAAATTTTTTTTTATTGATTTACGAAATATATTTTCAGGGAAATTTTTAAAGAAAAAAAAGTTTGAATTAATTATTAAATAAAGCGATCTTGATAAAATACAGTTTTGAATACTTTATTATTAAATGAAATTATTGTTCAAAATACCAGACATTTTTGCATCTCTGTATGATGTGTTCATACTAGAGATCCCAAACTTACTTAAAATAACTTCTTTCAGTTTGAAGANCCCAAACTTACTTAAAATAACTTCTTTCAGTTTGAAGATTGAATACTCATATTATATTAAATATTTACTCAATTATTTAGTTGTACGAACATACTCAAACAAATAACAATAGAAACACTATTTTGAAAATCAATATTTATTTATTATCAATGTAACATAATAAATAATCATAATATGTTAAAAAATTTACTAATAAACAATTGATAATATGATTTCTAGGAGGCCTTATGAACAAAAATTAACCTATAAACAAAACAAATATTTAAAAATGTACACGAGCATAATTGAGATCTCGGGGTTATGTGCGCGAGAATCGTTCTATGCCCGATCTACAACTAATTATAAATTTACAAAACTTAAATGGTATAATACACTCTGTTAGAAATAAAAAAAATTACAAATATTTTAAAAATACATTAAATTTCTAACAAACAACGAGGTTCTGTCAGATGTTCTATACTCGCATTATGTCAGTTTGATCAAAAGTCAGTGGTTATCAAAGTTATCAATTTTTTATGAACTATTCAGTCTTCAAGTTTTATTTGATTTGTTAATTTTTTAATTTAACCCTGTCAATAAAGAGTTTCTGATGAAGTTTTTTCTGAACTAATAGGCTCGCTGTTATCACCAGACGACGACCAAGAAAATGACGGAGGCGGAGGTCGGATACTGATCTTATGGTGCTTTTTAATATTATCGTCATTGTTAGTACTAGGGCCCACAAGTAAATTCAGGTATCTGCGACGGCACGTGAAAGCTAAAAATACAAATAAGCCCTGAAAGGCATTGAGTACAACGAATAAAATCCACATATACTTATTATTTAAATAGTAACTGGCCAAACCAACACTCCAAGAAAGACCCATGAGTATAGTCATACGACAGTACATGCGAAAATCACGACGAACATGACGTGTAGTAATGTGACGACTTGTACATCGACTGGTGTGTATCATGTACGATGTCCATAGGAATAATACGAAGTTTATTACCATGATAAATGCCAATGGTCCAGCAAAGAATACTAAAAGCGCCGTTTTACTGCCAAACCAGCATTGTTCTGACCCGAACCTGGGTCGCAGGTTTTCGGGTACGTTTGGTATAGTGTCAGATAATATGGCTACAAACGCAACCATAGCCGGGACTAACCAGCAAATCGCTGAATAAATGAGAAATTTTTTTGTTTGACGTCCAGAAGATACTCGTAGCTCGACAGTGGCTAACCGAAGTGTACGCCAACAGTCAAAGCTCATTATTAACATCCAAGCAAAAGATGTAAGGAATAAGTAATACGTGATGGTTGCGTTTACGTAGCAAGCAGCTCCGGTAAGCCAATTCCCAGTGACAAAAGCAGCGTACGCGAATATGAGGGATACACAATACGAAGCTAAATTCTTTCCAGACAGATTTTTCATCTCTGGCAACACGGTAAATACAGCTAAATGTATGACAAGGAACACGATAGATACTCCTAGACCAACGTAAGTCAATATAATTGACTTTAGTGATTCCGAGGGTTCTTCTTGACCGATTAAATCTTCAGCACAAACCATTAATGTTCCGTTGTCAAATAAAAAATAATCAACGGTGCCATTTTTTGGTAACCAGCCGTTTGTCACATTGGAAATAATAGCCACTTTAGAACAATTGAGTGGCTGTGAAATATGTGGCACGAGTGGAAAACAACTTTTTTTAAATGGATCGTAAAAATATTCATCATTCCAGCATCTTTTAGGACCAGGCTCAGTTAAGAACAATGACCCAAAACTATGAGGTATATTGAATCGTGAATTTAAAAGTGACGAACAGGTTAAATTTTGTACCGGTATGTGGTTACACATGGCACAGTGAATATTTTTGTAAAAAATTTGGCTTTCCCTATCAACTACTATCGTTGTGTATGCTTCGCAATTAGACTTAATTTCTCCTGCAGGCCACATCGGGTGACATTTTCTAATCATGTCAGAATTACAATATCGGACTGGAAATGGAGCTTCTACTTGAAGTAAGCAATTATATGTTTCATTTTTATACTTTACCGACCAATTTCCATTGGAAAGTTGCTGATAAGATTCGGCAATTCCGTCTACTATGGATAAATCATCACAAACAAGTTTAGAGTCCCATATTACTAGCTTATCAGTATCACTATTGCAAAGAGCACAATATCTGTTACGATACGTAATACCTGACAAGTTAGCTGTGACTGGATTGTCGATCAAGAAGTCAGTGCTAACGCTTTGTTCGCAAGCTTTTCTTACAGCTTGGTTGTCCCACTTTGACGGACATTTTGACTTCATAAAGGTTCCATAGTATAAATTATTATTGTTTATCTTTTCACAACTGTATTCAGTGGCCGCCTTGAGCTGCTGGATAGGGTCAAAATACGGTGAATCAGTACAACAGTCACCATACTCATTACAGTGATAGTCACACAAACAATTTCGGGCATATTCACGCATACCATCAAAGGGTGATGATGTTATGTTCAAACAACTTGTTTGAGACCCACATATTCTGAAAAAAAAATTTAGAACATTTTAGTCTTAATGCTTATTTACATTTATAATCGCTAAAACAAACACAAAGAACAAGCGAAACATTTTGATTTCGAAATAACGAATAATTAAATACTTTTGAAGCGTTAAAACAAAAGGATATTGTCAATTTTGTTACACAATAGCTTTAACGCCTTCATGAATCTAGTGAACGATATTATCCATCACTAATAAATATTATTCTTAAACACTTGAGATAATATAACTGTTGTGATACACATATACCAAGAACGCGTGGGATAACAACGAACAAAAATGAATGGAACTAAACGCGATATTTTCATAATTTAAACAATAGATGTATGTAATATTAGAAAAATAATTATTTTACTAGTGTAAGTAGTAAATCTTTCAGTAACTGAATTCCACTGTGATTTTTATAGTCAACAATTAATAATAATTTATTATGGTCATAGCAATTTCATAAGAGACTTCAACGACACCCCACGCTAGAGTAACAACCATTTGTAATTACTCTCTAGCTAACTGTCATTAATGTATGTACACAAAAAACTACCACGTGTCAATGTTATTTATTACAATAGGAAAGCAGACATTGGAATTTTCATTATTATTACATATATAGGTAACATGTTTTTAACCTTTTAGTTTTTCGTTAGAAGACATGTTATTTGAATGGTAATTAAACTAACTAATTCTTTAATGTTTTTTTTTGTAATTACAATGCTAAATTTGAAAAAAATCCACTTTTATTACCAATACTGTAAAATAGGACGTAATCACATTAATTTTAACGTTTTTAAATTTAGATCGTATTCTTACAGTTTTGTGTCTTAGGTAAGACATCAAAAAGAAAGAAATCAATTTTATTAAAGTATTATTATGTGTTTTTATTTTAGTTTTAAAAATATATTTACCAATTTGTAAAAAATTATGATTGGTTGTTTTGTATTCTCAATTAATATCATTTTTTTTTTTTGCAAAATTGCTAAAATTAATATAAAATAAACATTTTCTTGTAAAAGTAGTTTTTACTCAAAATACCCTACTGTGTAAATAATATCTTTTTATAGTGTACTATTTAAATATATATAATTATAAATATAATAAAAAATATCGTTGACTATTCTGCATTTCTAATAATATTATCAAAATAGGAATAAATAAAAATAGTTTTTTTTAATTAATTAATAGCATTATTATTATGTCAAATGGAAGTTTAGATTAAGGGTGGTCGACCACAAGTAGTTAGGATAAAGGCAAGGAAAAAGAAGAAGAATTCATAGATTCAAACTTAGCAAAACACATGCAGAAAATATCATATATGTGATATTTTGTATAAAATTATTGTTTGTAATTTTAATTATACACATTATAATAATTATTTCATCTAAAAGAAAACAGTATGTCAAAAAAAGTATACATATGCCAATAATTAACACATATATATGATTACAGGTAAACAAAACACAATAAGCCAAAAAAAAAAATTAAAACGTCAAATTATATTCTAAAATAGAAAAAGAATAACAATCATAAAAATACGCTTTTTTTAAAAGTGACGCAACTTTTTGTAAATTAGTTAGAGTTATATCAATCGCTCAGTCATAATTGCACAAATACATTTTTTTTTTATATTATTGTAAATATTAATCTAGACAGAAATTTTATGATTTTTATCATTACATAATTTAAAAAAAAATAAAAGTTGTTTATTTCTCTTCTTAAAAGATAAAAACAAGTCTAAACGTTTAAAATGTCCATACTATTATTGATGGTATTCTATGATATCCTGTCTTATCGATAAAAATAATTATTTCTCNAAAGTTGTTTATTTCTCTTTTTAAAAGATAAAAACAAGTCTAAACGTTTAAAATGTCCATACTATTATTGATGGTATTCTATGATATCCTGTCTTATCAATAAAAATAATTATTTCTCAATTTTTAAAGAACAGAAAGTGTATATAACTTTTAATTTCTATTAGACAGTGCACTTAAGTATTTAATGAAAGCGTTAAAAAAATTTGTTTGTTAATAAAAATAGAAGTTAGCCATTAAATACAACTAGTTTTACTGACATTTTTTTCAAAGAATATATACGTGTTAGTTAAATTTAAAATATTATTCATCGAATAAAGGATTTAGATAACAAAAAAAATCAATTTTTGAACATTTTATAAATGTAAAAGAATGTCATCGTTAGTCAATATTATTCACACATAAAGTGCGACCAANATCGTTAGTCAATATTATTCACACACAAAGTGCGACCTACCGTCACAGACTTATTAGTCTAGAGTACAAATATTATTAGAAGAATGCAAAAAAATTAGCAATTGCAAAAGATGATTTTTACGAGACTTTAATTTTTAAATTTATATTAAAGATATTACATAAATTTAATAATAAATTATTATAATTCGAAAATATATTAAATTTTAATGGATAATTTGTCTTTAAAAATTTTTATTTGTGTTTTACACTGTCAATATATAAATTTTTGAAAAAACTTTCAGTTGAGTCACTTTAAATAAAAAGAGTACAATCTGTATTAATATAACACTGAGCTAACCTGTATTACAGTCCAGTTACTATGGAAATTCGATGAAAAAAATTGTTTGATGTAGATGTCGATCACTATTTTTTCATACTTTAATAATAACTGATTAATGTCGATTTTATATTACTTCACGTAAAAAATTTCAATGCTCAATTAAGTTTTTATACATTCTACTTTTGTAACAACTGCGTAGAGTAATATTTATTTAATCTTCATTAAATACATCTCAAAATACACATTTTTAATTAAGTAAAACATTTGTGTAGAAGANTAATATTTATTTAATCTGCATTAAATACATCTCAAAATACACATTTTTAATTAAGTAAAACATTTGTGTAGAAGAGTTCTATACATGTTTTCCCACAAATATCTACCAATATCAAAAATGTATGAAGTAAAATATTAAAAACGAAAAATAGCTAAAATATATAACTCACTAACAGCAAACATAAAAACATATTCAGATATTCTATTCAGTATCTATTGATATATTTTAATACTTATTTCTGAACTATAATTACACAATGATATTCAGTATATTTTTTCATTCGGAATTCAAAATTGTAATAAACCCCGTTCACGAATATGAGCAAATTTAATCAATATCTTAAGAGTAATTATAACGATTGTAATTATCTATAGATATTTTAAATGTCATAAGTGTGTTTTTATTATATTTATATATATTTGATTAATACACAAATAAATATTAGCTGATAGTATAAACTCAAATAATTCCCCAGAATGAACGATTCATTTACTCTCTACTAGATAAACGAGATCAAAAATTATGCAAACAAATTATTGACATAATCATATCAAAAAAGAAATATATNTGCAAACAAATTATTGACATAATCATATCAACAAAGAAATATTTTTTTTTTGTTTAAATCTAAATGTACTTTACCTTCATACATGTATAAGCTCTCAATTACTTCATATTAATCGTTGTAAACATATATTATATGAATAAAATGTATCAATATTTTACTACACAGTAGAATAAATTAAAGACAGCTTATGATGAAAAATTAAACAATTTCTTACTTATAAGGATGATTCAGGTCATCCATAGAAATGTCTATGGCAGTCGTCCAAGACACCAGCCAAATAAATGTACCAACTGCAAACTGTATTTTCATCTAAATAAACAAACAAACAATAACTATTATAATCATTAAAACATTACAGGTGGCACAAAATAGTCAATTAAAGAATAATAGTAGTAGTAAAATAATTATTTTCATATCAGTTAAATTTTCATTTTTAATTTTGTATCATTTAATATTATTGGTAAAAAAACAAATTGTGTAGTAGTTTCAATAACGTGACGAAACCGAAAAAATAGATCCTATTGAGTACAATAATATTGCAATAAATGACAACGAACATTTAATGAAAGACTAAGAAACTAACGGCCTGTTAGTTTAAAGAATATCATAGTTTGTAATAAATGCGATCAATGTGACTGATTTATATCTTTAAAGATAATCTAACGCATAGAAATTAATAAATAAACTAAACACCTTGCGTGAAATTGTTACTATTAATTGCATTGAAAATATACGTAAAAGTATTAATTTATCAATAACTGGATTATAGTTACATTGTTCAAAAATAATCTAAAGGTTAACAAAATAACAAAAAATAAACGATTATTTCATTAAAGTAACAGTAATTTAAAGAAGAAATGACTGTTCCTTTACTATAATATAAAATAACTTTTAATTTAACTCATGAAAAAGATGGACAATAAATAGGAATCACGTTTCATGGCTATTATGTTTATGATATTTTTATTAAAATTCTGAAGTAACCAAATTTTAAATAAATAAAATAAAACTAATAAGATAATAAACTTGATTATAACTAAGTAATTTATTTAAAAACCAATGTAATTGAAAATAAATTATAATGCTGTCAACCTCTCGCATTAAGTTGAACGATTAATTATATCCGATGAGTTCCTATTTATCAAAAATTTTAATTTATTTGATAATTTAATAAGTTACCTTATCTTTTCATTAAAATATTAATATTAGTGTTCGATGAATGATTACTTAACTGCTGTAAACTAAAGAGAATAGTTTTATTTTTCTACATTTAATTTTATTAATATTTATTTATTTATTTAGGAGTATTCTTCATACATTAACTAATATATTTTAAAAACGTTGTGACGTAATTATAGAAGATAGACTTATTTAGTATATTGCGATCTTGCTGCGTCACAGGAATAGGAAGATAGATGACCTCTAAAATCGAAAAAAATTAATATGTATTAAGTATTTTTCAACTTTTTTCATAAAACTCGCTTAAAATAAAAAACTTTTTTATGATTTTTAGTAAAATTTAAACGTAAAAAAGATTGAATTGGTAAAAAATCAAGGTTACATAGTAATAAGTGTAAACAACTCCTTTTTTTTTTTAATAACTAGGCTTCTAAGATTTCACTTGATTCCAAAAATACGTTCTACGAATCATTAATATTAAATAATGCTTTAAACAGTTTAGAAATAGATCAACACAATTAAATTTACTTAAAATGAATGAGCATACACTTTTAGGCCTTGCATCATTCTTTTTTTCTTATTTTAAAGCGTAGTGCATAGTCATCGAGAAAGTATTGCGATTTTGTCTAGATAAGCAATAATTATTACTAGAACAGTTGAAAAAAAATCTGCAGGCTATTTTTAAGGGGAATCCTTACAGATAGCAAAAGTCAACACTTGTCTGTTACGGGAACCAACGTTATAATAGAACTGGTCAACGACCAATTGCGATTTACGACAACATATATTTTACATTCCTTATGCTAACTTTGTCGAGTGCTTAAAAAAAGAAGAGCGTTGAAGATTATTTGTTTTGGTATTCTTCTCGGGAGTTATTTTTTCCATCATGAGTCACGATATCAAACAACTATATCCGTAGGCAGTATACTGAGTTTCATTTTTGACAAAGTGCAATTCACAAAAATTACTATGAATAATATAAACACTATGCAATTATTTATTTTAAACATAAATTGTTTTTCTTTTCAGATGAATAAAACCATGTTTAAGAAATAAATAAATTATGGTTGAACATTTTCAGAACACAACAAAGTATTTACTTCGAGGTAACTATTTATGAATGATAAAACTCTTAATTGGTATTTACCTTTATTGTGTATTAAATATTATGTTATGTTTTCATTAAATATTTTAATTTTCGCATTATAACTTTACAAAAAAAATTGTTAATATTAGAAATCAATAAACTGTATTTTCCGTCAAAGTGAAGAATTTTTATTTACACTACAACTCCAAAAATGAGAACAAAAATATAGATAATATTAATTTTAATTATCATTTATTGANATAGATAATATAATTTTAATTATCATTTATTAATTACCATAAAATCCATCGACATTTTGTTCAATAATAATTATCATCAGAATGATAGCAAAAAAAAAAATTTCTTAAATAGACATCGTTAGGGTGACAAACATTGTAACAGACAATTTGCACGTAATCATATACGTCACTTAGTCATATATAATGTTCATGTTTTTTTTCACATAACAAAACTCTTATGGACTTTATTAATACCAACGAGAGCTTTTAGTACGTACAATTATCACATTCACTAATGTTTACAGACATAAAAATATAACGTCAATTCGCACAACACATGCGAACAAAATAATATACTCAGCAGTTTCAAGGTCCGTTGGTGTAAATTTCCAAACGCGTTTTTTTTTGTTTCTCTTCATTATCATAATCATACACACACCTATATGTTCTACACGTAGGTACATCTAAGTTGTTGGACACTAGAAATTATTTTTGGTACTTAATCTTAGTGAAAGCATTACTTTTGCTCTATGGTCTGATAAACCGAGTTGTTCGTTGGCGAGAAACATAAATTACAGCTCAAAGTGTTAATTTTAATGTACTGTTTTAGTGGTTAATTCTTATTGTACACGTTTGTGTACGATGGGTGTTCGCGGTTTTAAACATTTATCATTCTCACTACAGTAATAGTTTTCTTAATCGCATTAAAATTGTTTCAGGTAATATTTTTGGAAAAAACAAAAACACGTAGTCTTCTATTTAATAGTTTGTGAGGATTTATGCTTCGACAATTTGTTTTACTCATTGAACCTAAAATTACAGGTTTACACAAGATATGAAAAATATTTATCAATGCTAACATTTAAGATCAATTTAAGATTATATATTCTCAAGCATCAATACAAATAATAAAGTAAAATCAAAACCATAAAGGTTGTAAAATATAAATAAGTCTTGAAGAATTTTTTTAATTGATTTTTTTCCAATATAGATATATTTTATCTATCGTAATAGAAAAAATTTGAAAAAATATATATTTTCAAATAAACGTTTTTCAATTAAAAAAAAAAGTATATTGATCATGACGTAATTGTCATAAATACGTTAACTGGTACATTTCTATTAATGTTATTAAAATATGTTAAGTCTCATACGCATAGCTAATCAACTTATTAAATTCGCACTACAAGCAAATAAGTAGTCAATAACTTATAGTTATTGACCTATTATTGATCTTTATAAATCTTAATCCATTATCTAACTTTATTTAAAAAATAAAAACGTGTAATTAGATATTTTTTATCGAATAAGTTTTAATAGTGGTCATTAGGGTTCAACAACGATATTGATAATATTTGATATCAATATCGCCCACTTTTTTTCAATTTTCCCACGAAATGCATTATTTTATAATTATTGCGATAATCGAAAAAAATGTAAAAAAAAACTTTGAATTTTGGTCAAATTTTTATAAAATATATATTATTTGATATTAGGCCAAAAACAGTTTGTGATATTCTTGTAAACATTTTTTGTTTTAAAATATATTATGCATTATAGAAATGAGATAAGACGAAAAATAAGATTTATTGACACTAAATTCTATTCTTATATTAGGTTTTTTATTATGACACTGTTGTTATTCCAATTTTTACCTAAAACACGAACAATGTAAGGTGTGAGGAAAATTAGAGAAAAAATTTTCAGAATTAAAAAATGTATAGCAACAACTATTTGAAACTCAATCTGAAAAATAAAATAAAATTATTGATCCCTCCTACAAAAAAAATCCTTATTAGATGATAGTGATGAAGATAATGATGTTTTATTTTGTGAAAATTTTAATTTTATTTTTGAAAAGAAAAAAAATTTTCATTCGTAATTTAAAGCAATAAAAAGTATAAACAGCACATGTAATTTTTTTTTTAACTAAAACACTGAAACTATAATAGTATTTTCAAAAAAACTCAAAAAATTCATCCTTTAAATATAACTAGTTTATAATGATAAAGTCTTATAACAAAAAAAATTTGTTTCTTCATAATAAAAAGTTATTTGAAAAAATTTTGATTATCGTTATAAGGTATAGCTATTATCTATATTTCTTTGATATTAATAACATTCCTATTTGATTGAGATATCATAGCCTGATTTTTACACCAATGGTAATTTAACTGTGTTCTTGAAAATAAAAAAAAATAGTGAAAACATTTAAATATTAAATTAAATTTTTTTTTTTAATATCTATTATTTTTTTCATACAATATTGATATATCGCGATATTGAGAACAATCTTTTTTTTGATATAAAATATATATAATAATTATTGCTATATAATATTGCTGAAATTATTTACGATATCAATATCCAAAAATACATCGTTAACGAACCCTAGTGGTCATATAATTTATCAATTCATAAATATTATTTAAATTACAAAACACAATATTGACGACCTACGGTAATTCTATTTTACTACAACAATAAATTGTCGTTAATTTTAAAAGTAAAACAATTTTGCTATAATTCAATACAAATATTAACAATTAATATTATTATTTATATTTATAATTAAATTCTTTAATAGATAAATGCTGTACAATATTTAGATCAATATACTACACGATTCAAATATACATTTTTTAAATATTTTAGTAATTTAAAGTTCTTTAACTAAAAAGTTTTTAATTATATTATTTAAACAGTCACATTTTTTTATTGTGGAAATATCAAAATTGACACAAATATGATAATAAAACCCTGATTGTCATTAAATGAGTAACCCACTGCTTCATAATTTTTTG